GTTCAGGAAGGCAGCTTGGGGCTGGGTCAGAAACCTGGAGTGTCCCCTTGAGACACAGCTGACCTTCCATGAAGGACAGGGCACGGGACTGACGTGTTTTTGAGGAAACCACATGGACTCACCCGGGAGCCCTTGCAGACCCAGTGTTGAGGCTCCCCTGGGGTCTACCTTCCTGAGGACATTGCCCAGACCACCTGCAGGTTCTAGAACCTGGAGGCTGAGAAGGCCTGGGGACAAGAGACCCTCACAGTCTGGTGGGTGGGGCAGGCTGGGGCAGGAGATTTGAGTTGGCTCTGCTCCACCTGCCCTGGAGAGGCTGGGCGGATGGGGGCCACCAGGCCTGCATGAAGTGATTGACAAGGCCAAGGTCTGCACTGGGGGATTTATGACCGCCTCATCCCAGGGGCACCTCCTTCACTCACCACAGCTTCCAGGTCCCTCCCTTCAGCAGAGATCAAGGCGCCCCAACGCCCATCCCCTTTCCTGCCCCACTCTCCCAATACAAGGCCTCCCCTGCAAGGAAGGGGCTGGGGTCAGGGGAGGGTCAGTCAGCCCAGCCTACTCCTGCAGGTAACCCAGATACCACACCTTTCCCAGGACTACACAAGGACCTGAGCGCAATGTATCATCCCAGCTTCCCTGGCATGGGCTATGGGATATGGGGGTGGGCATGGGTGAGGGAGTGGCCAACAAGGGCCCTCAGAAGGGGTGTACTCTGGGAACCAGAGGGCAGACCCCCAGAGTTACATGCAGCCAAAACTGCATACAAGGTGTGACCCCACCAGGCTCCAGAAGAGAGGCCCATCCCTCCTGGGAACTGGCCCAGATGCTGATGCCCCCTTATCCCCAAGCAATGGGACTGTTTCCTTTTCCATCGATAAATGTGTCTGAGGTAACAGTTCTCAAGCTCAGGATGGGGAGGGGGCTGCTGGATCAGTGACAGCTTGAAATGAAAGCCAGAGCCGGTGCGGGTGGAGGGAGGCTGCCCTGCCCTCACTCCCTCCACTCACAGGAATCAGGCCCTCTTCTCTCCATCTCACAAACAAGTCCTCCCTGCAGGGTGGCCCGGGAGGCTCACCTCAAAGCAGAACTCCCCTCCTGGACCTTGCCACCCCACCCCTCAGCTCACACACACACACACACACACACACACACAGCCCAGCACCCTTCCTTACAGTCAACCTGGGCTCCAGCATCTGCCCCCACCTTGGTTCCCTTCAGCCAGCCTTTGCCTAGTGTATGCCCTTCTCAGGAGGATGCTGTGGGCGCCTGGGCAGAGGCACAGAGAAGAAAAGAACTCGCAGCTCACAGCTACACAGCCACTGGGCCCACCACAGTCCCTGAAGCTGCCCTCTGGGGCCCAGGGTCTGCTGGGGATAGTGTATCTGTCCACACATACAATGAAGTGGAAATGAGAGGAGAGAAGGCTTATCAGGGAAGGCTACATACATATAGGAGGGGCCATGCAAGCCGGGCTTTGAGGGATGCATATGAGTTTGGCAGATAGAAAGGGGACAGAAGAAGGTTCCTCCAAGCTTGGGAGGAGTAGGTACAAAAACCTGGGAAGAAGAAGGTTTGCTGGCCAACAGGGTAGCAGAAACATTGAAGGAAGGGAGATCAGGGTCCCAGTGGGCTCAGTAGCCTGCTTCCCTCCCAAGGGCCCAGCAAGGCTGGGGAGAAAGTGTGAGCAGGAGGGTAGGTTGGGGAGACAGAGGAAGCGGGGTGACCTTGGTCCTGTAGCTTTAGAAGACTCCTCTTTGGCCTAAGTCAAAGGAATCTGTGAGGGGGTCACAGGCAACCAACACCCTCTCCACCCTGCAGCTACCCCCCACAGTGCCCAGAGGCTGTGTCCCCCCCCCCCAGACCCCATCCCCACCCAAACAGCACACGAAAGAGAATGCCTTTTGAGCACCGTGATTTCAATTACGAACAATACATGTCCATTCTCACTCATAGTGACCTGTGGGATGCAGGAACACTGCTCCATAGGGTGGGTTTTCTAGGGTAATCTTTAAGGTTGTGTCACTATAGGATAAGCACTGGACTGGTCAGCAGTTCAAATCCACCAGTAGTTCTCGGAAACCCTGTATGGGGTCACTATAAGTTAAAATCGACTCAACAGCACATACACAACAACAATCTTTAAAGTCTTTCTTCCTCAGATCCTCTGAATGGGTTCGAGTTCACGGGACACCAAGGGTTCTATGTCCAATTTCAAGAGATGCTAACACAGAATGAATTGGTACCCAGAGGTTGCATTCTACCTGATGCCCTAGAGATTACATTCTCTAATACCTGTGCAATTAAGACTTTGGGCATCTTGCCCAACCTCTCTGTGCCTCCTTTCCCATCGGTAAATGAGAATAACAAATGGCACTTACCTGTAAGGTGGAGGTGAACATGAAATGAACACATCACAGGACAGAGTGCAGCCCACCATGAATTCTTTGTGTAATATACTACACGAGCCCAAAAGTGTGAGTCTTTCCTTTTTTTCTAGATATTTTGTGGGGTCTCTCACACTCCAGTGCTCTTCCTGTAACTTTCATTTCATTTCTTGGGTATGAAGAGTTCACTGTTGGTCAGTTTTGCAGTGAGGTCAGTTCTGCAGTGAGGTCAGTTCTGCAGTGTG